CTGACCACCGACCCCGCCGCACTCACCGCCTTCATCCCCTCCTCCTCCCGCAACGCCTCCACCGATGCAAAGCCCCAGGAGATGACCGTGCGTGACGCGCTCAACTCGGCCATGGAGGAGGAGATGCTGCGCGACGACAAGGTCTTCATCCTCGGCGAGGAGGTCGCCCGCTACAACGGCGCCTACAAGGTCACCCGTGGCCTCCTCGACAAGTTCGGCGAGAAGCGCGTCATCGACACCCCCATCACCGAGTCTGGTTTCGCCGGTCTCGCCGTCGGCGCCGCGCTCTCCGGCCTGCGCCCCATCTGCGAGTTCATGACGTTCAACTTTGCCATGCAGGCCATCGACCAGGTCATCAACTCGGGCGCAAAGACCTACTACATGTCCGGCGGCAACGTGCCGTGCCCGATCGTCTTCCGCGGTCCCAACGGTGCCGCCGCCGGTGTGGGTGCGCAGCACTCGCAGGACTACGCCGCATGGTACGGCTCCATCCCCGGCCTCAAGACCGTCTCGCCCTGGTCCGCCGAGGACTGCCGCGGTCTGCTCAAGTCGGCCATCCGCGACCCCAACCCGGTGGTGTTCCTGGAGAACGAGATCATGTACGGCACCTCGTTTGCCATCTCGCAGGAGGCGCTCTCGGACGACTTTACCATCCCGATCGGCAAGGCCAAGATCGAGCGCGCAGGCAAGGACGTGACGATCGTGTCGCACTCGATCGGCATGAACTACGCCATGGAGGCGGCCGAGATCCTCAAGAAGGAGGAGGGCGTCGAGGCCGAGGTGATCAACCTGCGCACCATTGCGCCCATGGACGTCGACACCATCCTCGAGTCGGTGAGGAAGACCAACCGCATCGTCACGGTCGAGTCCGGATTCCCGCTCTTCTCCGTCGGCGCAGAGATCGCCGCGACGGTCAACGACTTTGCCTTTGACCACCTCGATGCGCCCGTCGAGCGCGTCTCGGGTGCGGCCGTGCCCACCCCCTACGCCCAGAACCTCGAGAAGCTCGCCTTCCCCGACACCGCCGTTGTCGTGCGTGCCGCCAAGCGCGCCCTGTACAAGTAAGAGTCGACTCGTCTCTTTTTCGGCTCGGTGGCTAGCACTCGGGCACTAGAGCTTCGAGGCTAGATATCGAAGGCGTAGCAAGCGGCCGGGAGGCTCCTTCTTGTTCCCCTCGGGGTGTTTTGTTGTAAATTCATCTTGCTTTTTGATCTTCTTCAGCTCGAGGTGGCTGCGTTTGTGCTCTTTGCAGATCGGCGTGCAGGCCCGATATCAGCGTGGTCCACGGATAAATGTGGTCGAGCGGCGTACACATGGCCAAAGATGGGGGGGAAAGGGAGGTTTTGTAGGATTGAAGGTGGCTAATGGTGTGGTTCGGAGTAATTGAGCTTGAATCGGGCTTGGATTCCCGATCCTGAGCGCTGTCAGGACATTGTTTCGGGAGATAGGCGTTTGGCTGCCAGATTCCTAGGACCGGCGGCGTGGAAATCGTACGGGCGGCTGTCAGACTCACATGCAGGCGGGAAAAATTGTGGCTCCGCCCCGCCTCCCGTGCCGATTGGCAGTTGTTCTCGCTGTCGTGGATGAGACTTGACGCATCGGCGACCTTACCCTGCTGTTCCGGACGCTGCGACTGCCCGTTGCTCCCTTCTTTCCCCCCCCCCCCCCCCCCCCCC